ATAATGTTTACCGACCAGAGCAGAATTCGCAGATGTTGCTAATACAATGTAGCCGTACTGCAAAGGCGGATAGCCATAGTCAACACAGTTTTGATCCAGACTAAACTTGTAAACCATCGTTGAAAAGCCTTCGAAATGTCGTATTTTTACTTGTCCTGCCCACTAGGATACGTGCATCGGTACGTGACGTTGGTGAATTTGAGCGGGCCAAAACCCAAAAAGCACACTCAGTGCTACATTTATTGACAGACACTTTATCGGTTATTGTTACTGAACTGAACGTGAGTTCGCCTTCTCATTGAAAATCGTACGTCCAGTTACAAATAAGTGCGTTTCTTTTGAGCATCTGTTTTCTTTTGCATCGTTCGCTAAAGGTCTGTGACCATATCTATTAAGCACAATCAATGAGTGATTGACGTTTTTGTTTCAGTTATATGGGAGTAATGGATGATTTGATTTGTTTATATGATGAATTAGTCGTGTAAATGAAACGTGAGCTGAAAATCTGGGAAGCACTTGACCGATGCTATATTATGTAAACTCAAAATGAGAAACAGTCCAATCACCTGCCCGATGACCGAGTGGGTAGCATGCTTCATTCTGCCTGTGAGGTCCCGGGTTCGATCCTTATTTGGGTCGATGGTTTCGTACAGCAGATGAGACCCAACCAGGTAGAAGCAGCTGCACAGTGGTTCCCAGGTTTGTGTTTTTATTCGCTAGTTGATTTTTTTGATGATTGTTGTTTGTGGAAACATGCTTGTCATCCATAGTGAGTGAACAATGAAAGTTTACATTATTATCGATGACAGTAATTTTAGATCCTGGCATCAGGTGTTTTGATCTCATTCGAGTTTCTGAAGTTTACTTTCTATGATTGGACTCTGACGAATACTTTTCCTATCCGACAGGTAGATCCGCGATTGAATTGGAACAGCATCCGAAAATCTGCATCCCATCCTTTTGCTCGGTTGCCCTGATGAGCTGCATGGTAAGGTCACCGGAGTTCAGTGTATGCTGCTTATAGTAAAGAGTTGAATTATGCGCATAAATTCACTTGTTTACACTATTATATTGATCCACCTATAAACTGTTACATCAAGCGATCTCAAACTAATTCCCAGTGGAAAATGTGTTTTGTAAAATCAATACAAGTTTCCCTTGTTTCCCAATCATATTTTATTAACCACAGGCTTTTAGAACGTTACTGAATTAGCACAGTCGAACCCAGGTATATACAATGTGTGATAGCTTAATATGCCACATGTATCAACTTTATGTATCTCCTATTGATAAATGCTGGAACAGCTTTGTTTACAAACATAGATGGACGAACATCAATCATCGAACGATTTGTAGCGATAAGAGTGTCACTAAACATATGTCAGCCAGTTTCAGGTGTGGATTTGCAAGTGAGAAAAACTAAAATATGCAGGTTAAATGAGGTGCACACGTCCATTTCGTCTGGTAACATTTGTATCGGTGAATATCAGTGGTCTGGTCACATTTAGACGACACACGTGCTAATATATAAAATGTATTATTTTGGAGCTACAATGTATTTCAATACATATTTTCCCATATTTGATTTGAGTTTATGAGCATATCTAAATATGGGGCATATTAGACGGTGAATAGAAACATGAACGTG